ACATGATGAAGGATGTCGGGAAGTGGTGGAGAAATCGTGGGGTGAAGGACGAGATAGGGGACTGCAGGAGTGTACCGCATTTTGTGGAACCCGGTTAACGCGATGGGGTCGAGACCGTTTCCATAAATTTGGCGAGAAGATTACTACCTTACGCAAAGAACAGATGCGACTCAGGGGATGTACGGATTCGGTGTCTCTAGCCGAGTTTCGGAGGTTAGATGCGTGCCTTACTCGTATTGAGCTGCAGGAGGATGTACACTGGAGGCAGAGGGCCAAACAGCATTGGCTCAAGGATGCGGACGCAAACACCAAGTTTTACCACAGGTATGCTTCTCACCGAAAGAAAAAGAATACCATTACTAAAATTATGAATGATAATGGGGTTTGGATAGAGGGAGAGGCCATGACAAGTATTATCTTGAATTATTATCGTGGTATTTTTAGCTCGATTTCACCTATGGTTAATGATGATTTCTTTGAGAGTATACAACCCCGAGTGACTACTGCACAGAATGAGAGGCTTGTACGCCCTTTTGAGGAAGATGAAATAAAAGCGGCTTTGTTTTCAATGTATCCGGATAAGGCACCGGGATCGGATGGGATGAATCCCGGATTCTACCAACATTTTTGGGATGTGGTAGGTTCTGATGTTTCTACTTTTATTGTGAATTGCCTGAATAATTGCTCTTTACCGGATGGGTTAAATGAGACGAATATTATTTTGAACCCGAAGAAGAAAACCCCGGAAATTGTTTCTAATTATAGGCCAATTGCGCTGAGTAATGTTGTTTACAGAGTTATGGCAAAAGTAATTACAGCTAGAATGAAGCCGCTGATGGAGAATATTGTATCTGAATCCCAGAGTGCGTTTATAGCTGAAAGACTTATTACGGAAAATATATTGGTAGCTGCGGAGGTTGGCCATTATTTAAACAGAAAACAATGTGGATTAGCCGGCTGGGGGGCTTTGAAGCTGGATATGGCAAAAGCCTACGATCGTATGGAATGGTCTTTCTTACAACGGATGTTGAAAGCACTAGGTTTTGATGACAGATGGGTGGAATTATTAATGATGTGTGTAACCACTGTGTCGTATAGTGTGCTGATCAATGGTTCAAAGAGCGATCAAATAACCCCAACTCGTGGTTTACGGCAAGGTGATCCTCTGTCACCTTATTTGTTCATTATTTGTGCCGAGGGCCTCTCAATATTGTTAAACCAGGCAGAAGTGAAAGGAGAAATACATGGTTGTAGAGTTGCGAGAGGGGCGCCCTCCATTACCCACTTATTCTTTGCTGATGATAGTCTGCTGTTTTTCAAAGCTAATAATCAGGAAGCAGGAGTGATTAAACGCTGTTTAGCAACTTATGAAAACATGTCTGGTCAGACGGTTAATTATCACAAATCGAATATATGTTTCAGTAAGAATACAAGTGATGAAGTTCGGGAGGAGGTTGCTGGTATATTGGGAGTAGTGCAGGCTCAGAACTTTGGGAAATATTTGGGGCTTCCATCATTTGTGGGCAGGAATAGAAGACAAGCATTTTCTTATATTGAGGATAAGATAAAACAGAGGATTGGCTCGTGGAATAAGAAGCTTTTATCACAGGCGGGAAAGGAAGTTCTACTGAAAAGTGTGGCTCAATCTATGCCTACTTTCTCAATGAGCGTGTTTCTTCTGCCTATGAATTTATGTACGGCCATTGAGAGAACTATGAATCGGTTCTGGTGGAGATCAGGGAATGATCAGGGCATCCATTGGAAAGCCTGGGATAAACTGTGCATTCCGAAGAAATTTGGAGGGCTAGGTTTTAAAGAATTGAGAGCCTTTAATCTTGCAATGTTAGGTAAGCAGGCATGGCGCTTCCTGACACAGCCACAATCACTGGTTTCAAGAGTGTATAAAGCCAGGTATTACCCAACTAGTTCTTTTTATGAGGCATGCTTGGGAAATAATCCGAGTTTCTGTTGGCGGAGTATTTTGACGGCTAAAGGGTTAATTTGTGGGGGAGTAAGGCACAGGATTGGTAACGGCAAATCAACCTTGATTTGAGACCACCCATGGTTGCATGATGAGAATCAACCAAGAGTTTTAACAGAAAAACCGCCTCAGTTGGCTCAGGCAAAAGTGGTGGGTCTGATGGATCAACAAACTCGAACCTGGGATCAGGAAATTTTAACAGATATTTTCATACCCCAGGATGTGGAGGAAATTTTAAAAATACCCGTGTCTCCTGATTATGAAGATATGTGGTATTGGTATGGAGACCCAAGAGGAGAATATTCAGTTAAAGAGGGATATAAGGCGGTGATAGGCAACTACTCCCAACCGGTAGGAACCTTTGATAAATGGAAAAAATTATGGAGCCTAAAAGTCCCCCCAAAGTGGAAAACATTCTTATGGAGAGCTCTAAATGATATTTTACCCACTACGGAGAACTTACTTATAAAGAGAGTAGATATTGATCCAACTTGTGCAATGTGTGGAGTCGGGCATGAGAATCTTGTGCATTCTTTGATCACATGTCACTATACGATGAACATTTGGGCACAATCCAACCTTCCAATCCCCAATAGTGTCACGAATATTTTCAGTGATTGGTTTAATGATTTGATGAATATTTTAGATGATGATGGGATTGTTTATGCAGTGGCCCTTTTATATTACATATGGCGAACAAGAAATGGAGCTGTATGGGAAGCGAATTTGCCCAGGCCCCAAAAGGTAATAGCAATTGCATTATCGTCCATGAATGCATGGAAAGTTGTACATCCCATTCGACGAAATCCGCCAGCCAACTCCACGGTGCCACCTACCCGTGTCATGCCGGAGATGTCCAGCCGAGCTGCTGCGGCAGAACGCACGCCAAGAGAAGACGCTGCAGTTATGTTGCCATCACCGGTTGTGTCACGCCATACTATGCAGAACAGGAAGGATCAGTGTTATTTCGATGCGGCTTACGATCCACGAACGAACAAGGCAGCGATGGGGGCTATTATTTTGGATTCACAGGGAGGTTATGTGTCGGCTATGACCGCTCCTATCATACGCTGTTTTTCGCCCTTAATGGCGGAGGCTTTTGCATGCAAGGAAGTTTTGTCATGGCTCAGAAATCGAGAAGTAAAATCTATCGACCTCTACACAGATTGTTTGGTGCTCCAACAATATCTTTCATCTACGACGCACTCATCTCGGTCTTATTTAGGCTATGCCATTGATAGTTGCAGAACTAGTTTATCGTCTTTTGATTACTGCTTAATTCATTATGTTCCTAGATTAGACAATTATTTAGCCCATATATTAGCGTCTACTGCGATTAATCAGCTAACTAGTATGTATGCGGACTTTGATCCGCCCCACTCTATTTCAGCATATTTTGAATAAATGCCGCATAGGCTCCTTTCAAAAAAAAAAAATATCGGATCGTTATGTTGTGCATCCGTATGCACCATGCATGGTGCATACGGATGCAAAATGACGTCGTTTTATTAAAACGCGCATTTCACTTTTAAAAAAAATTCAATTTCGATTCCCCTCAACAACATTATGTTGTTCATTCATTTTGGAATTTTAGTTCATAGATTCTGGAATTTTAGTTCATTGATTATGGATATTTAGACGTGAATCAAAACTGATTTTTTTCATTCATGCTGGATATTTAGTTCATTCATTATGGATTTTTAGTTCATTCATTCTGAAATTTTAGTTCATAGATTCTGGAATTTTAGTTCATCGATTCTGGAATTTTAGTTCATTGATTCTGGATATATAGTTCAAATTATGCACAATATAATGTTGTTGTTGGATCGAAACTGATTTTTTTTTTTTTAAAGTGAGACGCACGTTTTTATTAAAACGACGTCGTTTTTGAATCCGTATACACTATGCATGGTGCATATGGATGCACATCATAATTTGCCAACTATATCCATTTAATTTTTTTTTTTTTATTTTGATGAATCACATTAGTCAATTATCAAATCAAGTTCATAACTACTAATGATTTCTTAAATTCTCCTGCAGTAATTACAACATTTACAAGTGCAGTGAACAGAAAGTATTTTGGTATCTCTTGTAAGTGAGAAGTGTACGCAGCATCTTTTGAAGCAAGTGACAGATTATGCTCTGCTTGAAGACCACGCCCCCAATCAATCAATTATTATTCTATGGACTATGATCCACATATTTGTGCAAACGATAAATAAAAATTACATTTTTAATATGCTAAAATTACATTATTTGAAAGTAAATGATTTTATATATATTATCAAATAATATATATTTTAATACACAAATAATATATTTTTAATATATTAAAAATGTATATTGCATTCATATCCATAGAGCTATATAGATCATGGTCCACACAATAATTTGTCCCCAACTAATACTGAACTCCGACAGTCGTTATATCGTGCACCGCGGTGCATAATCGATTATGCACCGCGCGTCAAAACGGCGTCGTTTCTGTAGTTATAACGGAGTAATACTATTGTGTGTCTAAATCGACACTGTCTCACGTATTATTTTTATATTATCAAATGAAACTGCAGTTATATCAAAATTATACTGTAGTTGTAGTGAAATGAAAATACAGTATATATAAAATGAAACTGAATAACATTTCTCATATTTGAGTGTATATTGTACAATGAAGCTGTAACTATATTGAAATGATCATGTAGTTGTGTTTTAATGAAACTATAGTGTATATAAAATAAAACTAAATAACATTTTCACATATTTGAGTGTATAAATATTGAATGAAACTGTAATTATATCGAAATGAAACTGTAGTTGTGTTGAACTGAAACTGCAGTGTATACAAAATGAAACTGAAGAACAGAATTATTTTTTGCGAAAATTCTGTTTCTTTTCATTAAACAAAACGACGTCGTTTTGATGCGCGGTGCACGATATAATTTGCGGCACTCCGAAGGAATCAGCAGAACAATTAATCTAAAATTCAATTTTTATTCCCTTCGATCAACTACGTAGCTATATATGTGTATGTGTGTGTAAAGCCCATAGCCATTCATATCCAACAAAATCACTCTCACTCATATAAATGAAGGCGGCAACACCAGAGGCACCGGCAGACCCTGCCAAGAGTGGTACAGAAGCCAAATCTGCGTCAACCCTGGTATAAAAGAAACCAATTCAAATGAACAAATTTTTATTTTATTTTATTTTTATTACACATACACGCATGTTGCATCTATCATATTCTATCCTGCTCAGCAAGATCATAGTTTATAATTATAGCAGTGAATAGCTTGTTTATTTGTTTGATTGTTTTTGTAATTTGTGAGTTATGATGCTTGTTTAATTTTTATTAAAATGGGGTATATGTATGTCAAATTTATATGTATATCTAAAATGATGGGAAGCAACTAGCTAGATATTAAATTACTCAAGATAACTTTTTATAAAAAGTAAATAGTCAATTTGAGCATGACTATGACTTTGTTTGGCATGCCTAATTGAAAGTTGATAAGTTAGAATTAAGAAGACAGAATTTTAAGATTGTTAAGTAATAATGTTTTATAAAATTAACTTTTGAATAAGTTATTATATACTCCCTATATAATTTTGTACGTATTTATTTTGTTTTTAGTAGTGAATGGAATGGACAATCTATTGCTAAAATGATATATGATATATTCTAACTTATCTTTTAATGGAAAAATATTTATTTAAATAATCTATTCTTTTCGTCTTTAAACTTTTTAATTATTAATGTGTAATTATAAAATAACTAGTATATAATTTTTAATCGTAACATATGTGCGCACACATATATAAAGGGAACGATAATTTATGTGAGATCATGCTCTCAAATTAAAAATGAGGACTAATCTGATTGATCAATCTATTTGGACAGATCAACGATTGAGAGTTTCTGTAAAAATAAGGCGAAAAAAGATGGAGTTATACGTATGTATGTGTGTATATGTATATATTTTGTTATTTTCTTTTGAAAACATTTCTTTTAAGAATATACTAAATTAACTATGAGATGATTTTTATGGGAAATAGATTGGACGAAATTAAGTTATGTTTTAATAAGAGAGTTGATGACAAATGGTGTTATTTTCGTAAAGAGTACTGATATATATATATATATATATATATATATATATATATATATATATATATATATATATATATATACTTTATTTATTTAATTTTCTACTCAATTACTTTTAATTTACTCTATTGACATGACATGTTGTAATTGGTTCAAGAAAATGTAAGTCCCATTTTTTATTCTGTTAACTTCAGTTTTACAATAAAATTAGGGCATGTAATGATAATTTTTACACAATTTTCATAAAGGACATTTATTTATTTTTCATAAAATAACAAGATAATTAGTTGGAAACAATTAAAAGCTTAAACTTTATTTAGTAAAACACAAAGGAATATAATAAACGTTTAAAAATAAAATTTTACTTTAAAACTTTCTATTGTTTATCATATGGAGTAGATAACTTACTAATAAGTAATAATAAATTATAAACTTTAAAATAAATTCTATTAACTATAGTCTAATTAAAATAATAACATTAGATATATATGGAATTGAGTTAACCGAGCTAAGTAATGATGCATTTAGCAATTATGAAATAAAATAGTACATATTCAGTAATTTTAAAATTTATTGTTCCCAGTTAATCAAATTTATACGAGTATCATTTAGCATCGCTGGAGCAGAATTACTTGCATCCTTTATGTAAGTTGTAGAAGCTTTCAATGAGTATGTTTTGTTCATCATTAGCTGCTATGCTTGACTCCATATCATGGACGCGACTAGATACTTCCTCAAAGGTCTTAGGCTTGAGCCCTTGGAGGATGTAGGAGAGCTTGAAATGCATGCCTTGGATGCACATTTCTATCGCGGAGCTATGTGATATCCTTTCCTTGCAATTCAAGTACAACTCCCTCCATTTTTCAATGTAAGCGGCCGAGCGTTCACCCTTCCTTTGGCGGGTGGTGGTGAGTTCTAAGAAGCTGACGGTTCTTCTTGTGCTATAGAAGCGAGTCAAGAACTCGCGCTCCATATATATCATGGCAGCTATCAATGCAACTGGGCTCCAAGTCTTTGTACCAATTGAATGCAGTGCCCTTAAAAGAGCGGACGAACTGCTTGACAATAAGATCTCCATATGTCCTAGCGTCGTTACGTTGCATATTTCCACGAAGTGGGTGATGTGTTGTCTTGGATTGCCTTTCCCATCAAATTGTTGAAATATTGGAGGTTGATAGACAACGGACATCATCAAATCCTCTATCCTTTGAGTGTACGGCTTGGCATATGTGTATGGTCTATCTACCGGTATCATGCCCTTGTTGACTGGAATGCTCCTGTCTGAAACTGGTATGTGCGATGTTGATTCCTCGTGTGACGTAGCTTATCCAATGCAAGTTGGTGAGTGTGAGGCGTCTTCTCCTTGAACCTCATGTTGTTTCCCAGGAGCCCGGCTAGTTTCGTCATTCCTTGTGCTTTCGGCCTTTTCAGCTAAGTCATTGATTCTCTTTTCATGGTTTTGAAGGAGGGTGGTCATCCCTTCAAGCGCCTTAGTGATGCTTGCAAGCTGGTCCTCTATAGATGTCGCGCTTGTTGTCATAGCTGACATGACTGTATAAATGCGTGACCATTCTGGCACGGCCTTTCACATGTTGGATGACGGCAATGTCGGTGACGAGCCTCTAGTGTTAGCATTTCCTTTTGGGGAATTTAGACTCCTTCTATTAGTTGTTCCTTTCAAAGATGGTGGACTCTCGCTATCTTCCGCTTCTTTTAGAGATGCTGGACTCTCGCTATTCGTTGCTCCTTTTGGGGTAGTTGACTTCTTGCTATCAACTACTCCTCTCAAAGAAGTTGGCCCTCCATTGCCAGCTGCTCCTTTCGAAGAAGTCGACCTCCCGCTATGAACTGCTCCTTTTGAAGAAGTCGGCATCCCGCTACCAACTGCTCCTTTCGAAGAAGTCAGCCTCCCGCTATCAGTTGCTCCTTTCGACGATGGTGGACCAGCAACGTAAGTAGCCTTCCTCGGGACGGTAAGGGTCGTTTCATGTCTTTGAATCATGCGTCGAACAATTGACTCTGGCTTAGGCGATCACATTCCTAAGCTCCTTGCGCATCTCCTGGTTAATAGCTTCGGAACCAGTTGTTGATGAAGACTTGGAACTAGCGGCTTGGGCATATGGCTTCTTGAACACCTAGCTTCTTGACGCCATTCGGATTGCTAGTAGAGTTGCTTGTTGAAGTAGACCGATAGTGAAGAGATGATAGGCAGAGCAGTCCCACTAGGTGTGCCAAAATCTATAAACACAAAAAATCCAAAATTGTAAATACATAACAAAATTGGGCAACAGTGTGTATATTTTAAGATGCGGGTACAAAATCTCTGTGTAGTCCTCTGATTCTTCGTGTTCTACTGAAGTGCTTCCGGGTTTCAAGTGTCTGATTCTTCGTGTTCTACTAAAGTGCTTCCGGGTTTCAAGTGACGTGGCTTAAGGATTCAAGCGGCGTGTGCCTCCGGGATTCAAGTGGTCTTCAATAGAAAATGCCTTCTATGCCTTCAATGCTTCAAATGCCTTCAAGATCTTCAAATGCTTCAAGTCTTCAAGTTGTGTCTTCAATGTTTTTAAGGTGTGTCTTCAACTCTTCAAGTGTCTTCAATGTATTCAAGGTGTGATTTAAGGTGTGAAATGAGGGCTCTATTTATAGTGAGAAATATAACTTGTATCCCTCAACAAACTCCCCTTAATATTTATCCATTAAATATTTAATTATTTAGGATAAATACTAAGGGTTTTATCCAACCGAATATTACCATAATCTTATTTCATATCCAAACCTTTAGACTGGATATGAAATAAGATTATTTCATTAAGAAGACTTGAAATTAAAAGTTACAAGTAAAGTTTACATTGCGAAATTTGGAACTACAAAATGGATGTGCAAACAACTTGAATGATGAGTTAAATGAAGAAATATATATGGACCAACTTGAAGGGTCAAGATAGATGTTCAATCGCAACAGTGTGAAAAAGGATATAGCAATGTGAGGGATGAAAGTAGATGTAACGGTTGTGAGGGAAGAAATTTGTCAACGTGAGAGATGATCACCAATTGGTTTAAAATAAACGAATTGAAAGTGAAAAGTGTGTAGTGAAAAACATAGTTGATGTTTATGTCATTCTATGTTTAATATGTATATGATATACTTATTGTTAGTAATAATGATCAAATGATCAAATTTACCAAAACCATGTTAAATTTGACATTAAAAATATGAGTTTTGGGGAATTTAATATTTGGGATTAACATCATTAGAAGACCGGGTGGTTTTATGTTGAGTCAATCTCATTATACACAAAATTCATGGGAAGTTTAACAAGGATGATAATAAATTGGCTATGACGTCATTATATAATTACATTCATCTATCAAAAATAGAGGAAAATGTATTTCTTAAGTAAAATACACTAGGATTATTGGAAGTTTGAAGTATCTAATTAGTTGTACTACGCTAGATATTCCATTTGATGCTAGTAAACTTAATAGATATAATAGTGAGTTAATTATCAAAATGGTCCCTTGACTATAGCGAAATTATCAATTTGGTCCTTGACTATTTTTTTGACCAATTAAGTCCCTCAACTTTAAAAATCTTAATCAATTTGGTCATCCGTTTGTTTGACCGTTAGTCAACCGTTAACTTGGGACCAAATTGGTAATTCGTTATAGTCAAGGGACCATTTTGGTAATTAACTTTAAGGGTCGGCAATTCGGTTCAGTTTTCTCAAATCGAACCGTACCAAACTAGTTAGATTCGGTAATATACCGAACAACCGAACGATAATAGATTCTTGTATATCGAACGGTTTGGTAAAAACTTGAACCGAATTGAATTGTTCGGTAAAAACTGAACCGAACCAAATACCGTTTGAACTTTGAATTGCTATTTTGTTATATATTAGACTTTGGATATGGACTATGTAAAGATCATAACACATAATATAGAACTTTTGATAACAAACCATAAAAAAATCAAATAAAACATTTACGAGAGATACTCGTGAGAATATGAGCTGAACGGCAGAGCAAGCAACAAATGACTTGAATTTATTTTTTATTTATTTATTTATTTATTTATTTATTATTATTATTATTATTATTATCATTATTATTATTATATTAAAAAAAAATCAAACGGTATTTGATTCAGTTCAATTTTTTACCGATCAATTCGGATCGGATCGGATCGGGTTTTTTATCGAACCGTTTGGTATACAAGAATCCAATATCGTTCAGTTGTTCGGTATATTACTTCGGTTCGGTTCAGTACGGTTCGATTCGAGAAAACTAAACTGAATCGTCCACCCCTAAAGTTAATTACTAAAATGGTCTCTTGACTATAGCGAAATTACCAATTTGGTCCCAAGTTAACGGTTGACTAACAGTCAAACTAACGGAGGATCAAATTGGTTAAAATTTTTAAAGTTGAGGGACTTAATTGGTTAAAAAAATAGTCAAGGACCAAATTGGTAATTTCACTATAGTCAAGGGACCATTTTGGTAATTAACTCATATAATAGTAATCTCAACGGTGATCACTAGAAGGCAATAGTATGGGTGATGAGATACTTAAGGTATAATCGTGGCCTCGAGATGTACTATACACGATATCTAGTTGTACTAGAATGGCATTTTGATGCTAATTAGATATCGAATATAAATGACTCTAAGTCCCCAAGTAGCTACGTGTTCATAATAGCCGGTGTAGTTGTATCATGGATATCCTCAAAGAACAATGTGATAAGTAGATCAAAGTTGGGATCCAAGTTGGAATCTAAGTTGATGGCCTTAGACAAGTGTAGTGAAGAGGTTAGATGACTATGTCATTTTCGAGAGGATATTTCAAGTTCAAAAAAACATGTACCTCCAAATTGTATACATTATGGTAGCAAGCAGCAGATGGAATGGTATAGAGTAACTTGTATAATGGTAAGTCTAACCTTATATGGGTTGTAGACATAATACTATTAAACATTTCTCACAACATGAGTTATATCTATTGACTAAGTGAAGTAAAATGATAATATAATAGATTCGCTAACCAAAATATGAAGTAAAGAGTCGGTAGTTGTCATGAGGAATGAGACTAAAAGTCCATAAAATAAAAGTTTTATAGTGGATACCCAACCTAACTGGAACCTACGTTCAAAAGGGAAAACTAACATTGTTGGTCCCAATGAGTAGGGGTAAAGAGCCTAAGGGGGGTGGGGTAAATAGACTTGTATGATTTTTGAAAACTTTTTTAGAGTACCACATCGGAAAATATTTATTACCGCTTTTTAAAGTTTTTGTTTTTGCACGTATTTTGTTCTTGTAAATTTTAGGTTTTGTTGGTTATAATTTGAAAGTAAATAACGATAATTAAAGAGAGTAAGAGAGAGATTTTTGAAGTGATTCGGCCAAAATCTAGCCTACGTCCACTCTTCTCCCTAAACTCCAATGAAGATTGTACTATCACAGCTTAGTACAATGAGATACCTTTTAAGCCTTGAACACAAAATCGGCCTTAAGTGTCTACGTTTTTCACAAACTACACTTGTTAATCCGTCTCTTTCTGCTAATACAAGTAGAGAAAAATTGGTTTGAACAAAAGGTTGTTCATATTTCTCCAAGTGTAGACTCCGTATAAAATGTTCTTGCTTGTTGCCAAAGTCTTGAGCTCGATCTTTTGTTGTAACTCTTGCTCTCTAACTTCACTGGTCTCATGTAATTGCTTGTAAGCTATATTTCACTTGTTATTTAATTTCTCAAAATTACCAATCCTCATTCAAATTTGAATGGAGTTATTTATAGCTTCAGTTGTTTTTGTCCTAATTTCCAACCGTTGAGGTACTTTTGCGTCTGATTATAAACCTTTTGTCTGCACAGAATACCTTTGGCCTTTTTGAGAAATCTTTCTTGGAAAATGTACCTAGGACACCTTTTGCCTTGGTAACATTCTTCTTGTACTTTGAGGTTTTTAACTATTCCCTTAGAGAATGATCAAATAGTAGTATATGAGGAGTTACTTTTACTCTTCAAAGAAAAAATCTTCATATCAAACATCACCAACCCTTCAGATTTGACTTTCCTTAGTTAATTGTTACTCTTCAGAAATTAACTTTTCGCTTTTAAGTTACTTTCCTTGTCCCCTATACTATCCGACTTAGGTTGATCCTTCCACTCTTCAGTCTTCTACTCTTCGCCTTCAAGTCTTCGAGTCTTCTACTCTTCCATGTTGACTACTTGACTTCTCATAGCTTGAATTCTCGAATCTCCACAATTTGACTTTTCGAAGGTCTTAGTTAGGGCTAAGTGTAACTTGAATGCTCATAGGTTTAGTCTTTGAATTAATTTTACTTCTCGGTTGGTTGACTTTTCGGTTGGTAAGATTTATTCTTTAATTTACCTTTCGAAGCCTTACAAGGATGATTGTTCGAAGTAAAAATAAAGAAAAATTCTGAGGTTACTTCTCGAATTGGTTTTACTTTTCGGATTAGCTACTCTCTGGTTGGTAAAGTTCCATTCGCTATGTTACCATTTGGATTCCTAATTCTATGTAAAAATTTGGGGACTAAAATTCCTAACAGTTAATTAAAATGTTTTTAACAAACTTATAGAACAAAGTGTGGTCACTTACAATGCTAGTTTTTTTTTTTTTTTTTTTTCTTAGTTTAGCCACTTTATCATGAAAGGTAAGGGGGATAAAGGAATCGTGTGTTCACCATCCTCTAAATGTAAGTTTTCTTCCTCCATATGTAAAAAGGGAATAAATAAATCAATCAAATTGTGAGAGGCTTCATGAAGCGCTTCTTTCGGGGTTAAACTTCCGTTTGTTCATATTTCTAGAAAAAGTATCTCTTGTTTTTCATTCCCATTCCCATAAGAATGAATACTATGATTCGCATTTCGAACCGGCATGAATACAACATCTATATGATAACTTCCATCTTCAAAGTTATGGTGCGTTTTTAGTAGGGGGTCTTGTACTCCAATTTACTCGTTGTTGAAACAATGACTTTTGCATGAGGTTAAAATGTCAATTGACATAAATAGAGTATGCATGATGCTTAGAAAAGAAGCACCTATGTGAGACTAATTAAAGTGGAGCTACGTCTTTGAAAAATTGAATGAGCTCAATTCTTAAGAAACTCTCATAGAACTAGGAAATGTATGTGTTCCATTCCATGGCTAAAATGGGCACAGACTATGAGAATTGAAGAAAGAGTGGGAGGTTCTGTTGTAAGATATATCATCGTTTACACAAACGATAATATAGTTCAAGATATCACATTTTATTTGATAGTTGGAACACTAAATAGATCTTTACGAGGAATTATTCAAAGGGTAACACCTATCTATCCTATGCAGAGATCACCCATTGAACAAGGTCGTGTCTTTTTACAATTTCAAAAATAAATTTTCATTCATGTAGGAGAATTATTAAAAAAGCTAGCTAAATATGGCATTTAAGTGGTAATTAGGAGACAATATTTTGAGTGGGGTTCACTTATGATTTTGGTTGGGTCTAAGTGGTTTTAAATTCTCCTAATTGAGATGTTTAATTTGATAGATTATATACTCAAAATGGATACATGGATGAATTAGAAAATTGAGTCTCAAAGTGTAAAGTAGTCTTTGTCCAACATTGAAAAAATATGTTGATTTGCACTAGTATATATACAATTTATTTTTCAAAGAGTTTGAAAGTCATTGAAAAATTGAATTGTGTAGTATAAATGATTTCTTTAATGCGTACGCTTGAACTTGTGTTGGTTGTAACCACTAAAACCTAGGTTCCCTATAGTAAAGGTGCTTTTCAAGCACAAGCCCGCGCATCTTTATCATACCGATCAAGGTTTTACCTCTACGATTCTCTCTCCTTTTTTCCCTTAATTTTATGTTATTCCCTTATTCAGTTTACTAAATAATATGTTTGAGTGCTCAAAATTTACTACTCATATTATAATTTATTGTATCTTGAAAAATTAACATTTCAAGTTCTTAGTGCTATTGAGACGAAGCAAATTTGTTTTATAAAAAAGTGTGTACCACATGCCTTGAATTGCTCAAGTTAGCTGAAATCAATTTATTTTGTAGAGTTTATGGTGAAATGTTCTAGAACCTAGAGAAGTTTGTAAGACTTGGTGGAATGTATAATTTCAATCTTCTTCCTCCTTGATTGTAAAGCCCTCTGTAGTAGAAAAGTGCCATCATGGTCATTCATGGTAGATAATGGAGAAATGTCCCCTGTCCACACTGTAGCTTTTCTAATTGAATTTTAAATTAAGTGATAAATTGTGGGTAAAGATACATGATTGAATTCGAGCAGTCATAACGAAAGAGTTTCACCTTCTTGTAGAATAACTCCTTGTGGGCACAAGGCACTAGTCTTCTCACGTAATGATGAGTTATTGAATTACTGAAATTTTGCTTTTTGTAAGCTACTTTGATAGACATTAGTGATTTTTCAAGACGTAAATTAACAATTATATAATAATACTTTTACAACAATTAGTTTGACCATATCAATTTGGTAAATCAATTCATCATCTATTTATTTTGTGATTTGAGTATAGTATTAGATCATCAACTCTATTTTTATTATATTTTTCATTATCTTGATTAAAAAAACTTTATTGAACAGGTCAATGGAGTTGACAAAAATAATGCAACAAGAATATACCCTAGAAAATTAAATTTTTCATTAAAATTTTCTCTCGACGAAGAAAGTTCGAACGGTAATTGGAAATGGGAATCCAGGTACTCGACTCTCGGCTCCTTTTTATCATAATTTATTATCAACTTTTTGCTTTCACACACGTGAATATTAGGAAATATTACTATAATTATTAATTATATTGATTAATTAATATATAATGTACTTCAATTAGCCAAAAGATATTGCATAAGTACTAGTTTCTTTTTTTTTTTTTTTTTTTGACAACATGTATATTTTTTATATACATAGAACACCTTTAATTTCATCTTATTAATTTGAAATAATGAATAAATAATTTTTGATAAATTATGACCTATTCACAATCAATAATTGTAACATTATATTATTGTCATATATAAATACAAATTCTTATTGAACAAAAACATATTCTTGTAATCAACAGAGATAACGTAACTCCCTTTGTGAGCTTCAATTCGTTATATAGTTATGCATGGTTGAAAAGAATCAAGACTTGAAAAAAAAATTATATTATATGTACGTAATACATTATGTGTTAGTTTTAAAATTAATCGGTCAAATTGACACGTACACCACATATATTTTGTTATGTTGCAGTGGCGAAGAGGCGGCAGCTCTGGTGTCAAAAGTGATATGGCTAGAAGTGACGGGAGAAAAGGAAGTAGATCCTACAAAGAAGTATGAAGTGAAGTTTAAAGTATCCTTGAAAGAAGAATCGTCACCAACTGAATGGGAAAATATTCCTCTGTATGTTATGGCTAGGAGAGGGAAGAAGAGAGATTATTGTTGGAAAAAGTTTGTGCTAAGCAACGTTACTGGCAAAGGTTCTGAACGCGAGATAGGGTTGGTGATTGACAAGGTAGCTTCTAACGATGATGAGGATAAGAAGCTTTACTTTGGTTTATATGATATTTGGAGTGGGAAGCTCAAGAAAGGTTTGGCTATTCACTATGCATCTGTGCAAGAGATTCCTTAGCTTAAAACATATATAATTTATACTCTTATCAAAGTTTTACAAAAAATAAAACATTATGTTCAAGATGATAATATGTGTAGTAGTGTTCATTAGTGACATGTGGGCTTAGCTAGCGAAAAGAATCATAAATAAGGTCTTTGGGTTGAATTACAATTTTGTATATTGCCCAAAGAGATAAACGCTTTTAGTCCTAACATAGTAGTGATTATTTATTATCCATTCAGTCGTTTAGTATACATCGTATTATATTATAAATGTGGTTGTTAGGCTCCTAAGGTCAATTAGGCTCCTAAACTTTAAAAAAGTGTAATTAAACCTTCAAAGATGTCAAATTGGGTCAATGAAGCTCAAAAACTGGTAATGACCTGTTATTACAGGTCATTTTAATTTCGGCGACGAATTCCGGCCACCGGCACAATTTCCGGCCGTCCTGTCGTCTTCCACTGGAGAAGACTACCGGACGGCCGCCTTCCAAATCTGGTCGTCTTCTCCAATGGAGAAGGCGCGGCCGCCCGGTCTTCTTCTCCAATTGGAAGACGACTGGACGACCAGAAATTGTCGCCGGTGGCCGGAATTTGTCTCCGGAATTGAAATGACATGTAATAACAGGTCATTTACCGGTTTTTGGGTTTCATTGACGCAATTTGACATGTTTGAGGGTTTAATTGCACTTTTTTAAAGTTTAGACGCCTAATTGACTTTTGAAGTAAAGTTTAGGGGCCTATTTAACCATTTTCTCTACTATAAAATAATGACTGTTTTGTTATTTTATTTTATGTTACGATAATGATAAGTTTTATCTTAAAAATTTTGTGGATGCATGTTTTTGTTTCTAATGTCACTTTTATTTTCACGTTTTAAAATAGAACTAACAATTGGAATTATGCATTCAAAATTGAAGCAATGATTACCATCACATTGGAGACAAAAAAAAAATAGTTATTTTAAAGAAAAATTAAGATTGACATTAGATAGAATGGTGATTGGGGAACTTCTGTGCCCTGACTTAGAGGATTTATGAATCACTATTATCTTAAAGATAAAAATATATATACTTCACCGTTCACGGTAGGTATAGTATTATATGAGCCCAGCATTACATTTATATATGGACGGTTGCCACACGTGCATTGTGCTAATAGTCCAATGTTCAATGTATATTTTAAATTAGTGTTTTAGACATTATCAAAGTATCATTTGGTATCTTGGCGTATTTCAATGCAAGATTATCAATTTGTTTTATAAAAGTAAATATTTCAAGAATGCATAACTAATAGGGAATATACCCTGATTCGACTTCCTTATATGTCCGTGCTCTCGTTTATAGTCGAGTTTGGGTCAAACAGTTCGGATCAACGGGTCAAAGTCAAACTCGTCAGTGCTTGTGCCTATATAAGGGGCATTAACCCTTCATTTTAGGGGCTTCTTTTATCCCTCTCCACGATCATCTCCCTCTCCACTATCCTCTCCCTCTCCACTTAGCATCCCTCTATACTCTCTCTAGCATTCAAGAACAACATTATTGAATAAAATAGTTTTTAATCCCAAAATGATAATACTAATTTCCGGTTGTACTCGTAGAATATATGTACTGTATGAACAAGAAAGGAATAGCTCAAAAGGGGTGTTTTATTCATATGTTCTTCTTATTGTTTTTGTAGAGAAAAGGGAGAGACCTTTCTTAATAGAGAGAGAGAGTGAGTAGTGAATGAAATGAACCAAAAGTCCCTCACTTAGAGGGTCAATGGCCCTTTTATAGCCCCGAGGTTTGGGCGGGTTTGACTTGTCTGCTTTGACCCACTGACCCGAACCGTTTGACCCTGACCCGACTATAAAATGAGAACTTGAACGTATCGGGAACCCGGACCCGGGGTATATATCCTACCAAGAATCTTCCCAGGGTTCTCATACTTGCTTTGGACATACAATATACCCTGCTATACACTTCAAATACTATACATACACGAGTCAATACCCCGTATCAAATGGCGCTGTCTGTGGGGACTGCAACAAAAAGTCGTGTCCTCCTAATCTCTAATCCGGTCAGCTTAACTGGAGAATCCAGCTTCTACGTTGTGAATTGGCTCCAACTTTGGCTCTGGAATACGCTACTGGCTTTGGACAGCTCAGCAACTCTCCCATAGGCTTGCCAAACGCAGCTAATATGAGGAAACGCAGAGTTGTGCTCCCAATCCAAATATCCGATGAATTGATGAAAGTAGAGACCAAATTTTTTGCATGTTTTGCATTGATGTTCTGTACGTGTGATGTATTGCTGACTGGCTTCGTCGACGGAAAGATCAGGCCACGAACCATCCTCAAAGCTCCGCCATCATCATCACCTTCTTTGGTAACCCACCAATACGCGTTAAGTATCAATACATATACATAGATATAGTCAAAACTATTTGGAACTGAGGAATACAATATATAGCGGGCATTTGAAAACCAAGAGATGAGACAACACTCCATATGACACACTATCAACAAGAATCAAGACCAACAACTTCAATCAAAGCAATGGAGACCACAACAACAAGCGACAACCACAACTCTAGATGCAACCTACCATTCACAAGGTAGAGTTCATCATAGACATACTCATAAGCAGGAAATACACAATCACATAATGACAAGACACACATTTCAAGTGCCAAGTTCCAACCTTATGCCCTGTTCCTACCCCCGGCCTTATAACTAGTTCCAACCATTACCTCCAAGTGCCACCCTGTACTTCTGAGTCCAACCTTATTCCGCCTGGGACCGTCGTCCCCCACCAATCTTTACCACCAATCTCATAGTATTACCATACATGAGGGTATCATTAAATAACACAATATTACCACCGATTTCTTGAGCAAAGCTCAATAATATTACCACCAATCTCATTCATAGTTACACATAGTCATTATCAAGAGGATTGAGGCTCTTCAATAGCCCAATCAAGTATCAACAAAGGGTACGGTACAACGATTTGTACAAGATCACACCATAAGAATCAACCAAGGGATTTCAATAAAGACATGAAGCAATACCCAACAACAATGGACCACAATCCAATACCAAAATGATTGACAACACGAGTTGCCAACCCTCAACAAGAAGGAACAAACCAGACATACTAGCCTAACAACATCAAAGCTAGCATGCTCATCAAACGGGTAAACCAAAATGGTTCCAACGAACCCTCAAGACTCATATTAGTCCAACGAATCACAAGGTTGGACCCTTAGCACGATTCAAGACTCCAGATCCTAACATGGATTCCTAACACATCGTTCTAGACATACGAAACATCAAGAACACTCACAAAAGCTCAATAATCCAACAACGGGAGGTCAAAACATCACATACCAAAATGAAAGAACCACGGGGAAACAATTCCCCGCACTACCAAACACGTTCCCCGCGGGTGGGGCGGCGGGTAAGCCACTGCCCGCCGTTCCGCCCACGGGGTACACCCTGTACAACATTTTTCCCTTCGGGGAAATTCATCAACAAAGCCAAGTTCAAGTCCAAAACACCCAAAACCTCACACACCACAAAGATATGACTTGAACCCAAGAATAGCTCAAAGAAAGGCATTCAAGAACCCTAAATACAAACTCTAAACATGCATTATCACAAGATCATGCATCAAATCACTCACAACATCAAGAATCATCAAATAGAAGCCAAGTATAAAATAGGTTTTGTAGAGCATGTGTTACCTTTGTAGACCAAAAACCTCTTTCTTCTTACACCCTTAAGCCTCTCATTGAAGCTCTTTCTCACCAAAGACTTCTTACACAACCAAACCACCAACAAAACACCAAAATAAGATAAAGATACCTTAAAGCTAACTAAAAAATACTAAACAACTTAAGATCTTACCCTTTCCTATGCTAGGGAGGTAGAAAGGTGGAATCTTTGCGTGAAACCTTGCAAGGATAGAGAACCCTTCTTCTAGCTTGGAGAGAAAGCTAAGGTTTCTTTTAGAGAGAAGGTGGAGTGTTTGTGACTTGGCTAACAAGGGAAATGAATGAAATGTCTTGCTAGGGAAAACTTGAGCATCAAACATGTGTGAAAGGTCAACTTTACCCTTACTAAAGTTAGGAAGACAAAAAGGGTTGAGGTACAAAGCATAAGGCAAAAGGTACACTTGGTTGACTAAGGAGGCTAGTCAAATTCTAGTCCCTCGACTATTAAATTTCAGGATTTTTAGAAGGAAATTATCAAAGGAAAATTAGGATTAATTCCTCAATTAATCCCAATTAAAGGTTAGATTTACGGGGTGTCACATCCTCTCCCCCTAACAATAAGCTTCGTCCCCGAAGCTTGGGCACAACGAGATTAACAAAAGGCTAACGATGAACAAAATGTGACAAGAGTAAGAAAGGAAAAGGTAAATGAGACTTTAAGCAATAAAGGTGTTCACCAACTAACCGAAGCTAGAGAAACCAAGGATTCAAATTAAGGTGGTAAGATTGATAGACTTAGGAATAAGCTGAAGGTTCAAAAAGGTAAGTCAAGAAAGAAAGATAAGGTGATAGATAAAGATTTACCGGAATGGAAAACTAATTCTACCTTAAACTCAACTCTCTACCCATTACTAGCCACCGGTCTACACAGAACTCGACGTCTTAGCTAAGGAACAAGCTACAACTAAAACTAACACCAGGAAAACTCTTAAGCTGGATTACCAGGGAACGAAGAACAAGGATCACGTTTTCAACTGTTCACCGCTGATTTCTCCAACCAAAGGAAACAAGGTCCTCACAATGCACAACTAGATCTCGGCATCCGCTTGAACTTGATTTGTCACTTCCAAACAAAGACCACTACTGCCAGCTCTAAAACACGAGCAGGATGTCCTTCTCCCTAGATCTTGGGCTAACTTGATGCATACTGTCAACTTAACACTTGCATTAACACACAACCCCCAACTCTCAAGAAAACAACGCTTGAAAACTTCAAAACTTTCGGTCCGGATGAAAGGTCAAAACAGGAACGGTAACAAAGGAGAGAGGTAACTCAGGGGAAAGAAGGTTCACAAGGAGGGATTCGGTTCGACGGAAAAGATTAGAGTGAAGAGTTTAAGATTTGAAAACTCGAAGATCACATTGGTTAAGAAGAGAAGAAAGGCAAACAAGGCTACAACTTAGGAAGTCAAGGTTGTCACCTTGCACGGCAACAGTTAAAGAAGAAAGCAAGAACAAGGTTTGGGAAGAACAACGAGGGTTTCTCGGCAAGAA